AAAAGGCATGGCCACGTAGACCAGAAGTCCACCCCTGTTCTCTGCATTCCCTTCATTCTGCAGGGGAAAACATTAGCTTTTCCATGGAGCAAAAATAGTCTGGGGACATCCATCAAACTTTCTGCTGTGAGTCAGTACATTTTTAACAAAAGCTGCCTCAAACCTGGCCGTCTACTTCCCTGCATCTGAAGCCAGAGTTTCTTCCCTCAAAAGCCTAAACATCTGTGCTTCCTGGAGACTTTGATCAAATTACTTTAAATTTTGCTTCAGTTTTGGATTTGAAAAAATTTCCAAGCTTCATTTTGATGTCAATATCTTATTTCCCCGTAGGTTTCAGAAGGTTTTCTACCACATGCCTGAAACAACACGTTTGGATTTTTAGGAATCTTATTTTGCAAACGTGACTAAGTGGTATGTGTAGGGCCGGGTAGCTATCTATCTTCATTAATAGTCAAGAGCTGTCACCTTGTTTTTGTGTTTTGGATGACTGTACCGCCTGACTCAGAGGTGGACGGTTGCCTAAAACCTTCCGGGAATAATGTGAAGGTAGAAATAAAGAAAATGTTTCAATGAAGAGATAAACTCAAATATACCATAGAATAAAATTTTTACTTAAGTGCCTGGAGACTGATCTCTGGAGCTCTTATGGACTTACTTATTCTCAATCTGCTAAAAAAAAATGTGTTCTGAAGTACTTCGGGGTGAAGTTTGAGGATGTGTGCAACTTTCAGGTGTTCAGGGGAAAATGTGTGTGTGTGTGTGTTGTGTGTGTACACAGAGACAGAGAGAGACAGAGACACAGAGACAAAATGAGAATAAAACCAAATGTTCAAAACTGGTGACTCTAGGTGACAAGCTGTTGTTACATTATTCCTTCAACTTTGTAGCCTGTTGGAAAATTTTCAAAATTAAACTAAAAGGGGAATAAACACCTGCATCCTCTTAGGCTACACGTGCCACCTGCGAGCAGAAGGCAGAGCCAGGGTCATGGGCAGGGATGGGCACCTGGGCCTTAGCGAGGACAGCGGGGGACACTGCTCGGGCCACCCCCTCCCAGCCCCCCAGGCTGGGCTGTCAGCTCTTTCTGCCTCATGCATTCTTTTTCTTCCCTTCAACTCTTTTCACACATCTTCTTGGTCATTTTCTTATGCCAGCCCTGCTTTGCCCCCTACCCCCATTCCTCTGTGTTCTTACACTGAGTACAGTGAAATTTGGTTATTCGACAAAAGACAAAAATAAAAAAGCTGGAATTGTAACTCAAATGGTTGGAATGAGCTGCCTTTAAAATGTCTTTCTTCCCGTAAGAAGGTCACCTCCGATTTCAGCGGAAATGTCAAATTGCCTGTAATTTAAAGACACATTCAAAGAAAGTAGGGCAGCAAAGTAGTGTTTTGCTGCAAACCTCTGCAAAACGAATTCTTTTTTTCCTCTGGGCCTGCCAAAGACCAACCGTTCCCACACTCCAGCCGTGCTGGCTCCAGCCGCCTTCTGAGGTTTTGATTATTGAAAATGATCACCACTGTGTGTTTGTGGTTTAATTGTCTGAAGCCACTTCCTAGAGAGGTTACAGTGAAGCAGCTCTTTTGCTGAAGTCCACAGAGAGGAACGGAGGTGACTGCCTTGGCTGGGGGTCCAGGCGGGGCAGGGGGTCCAGGCAGGGTTTGAGGGTCCAGGTGGGGGTCAGGGATGGATGGGGGGAGGTCTGGTCCTGGAGGAGAATGGTACTTTAGGATTTTGTTCCACTGGAATAGGGTCCTTGTTGAATCAGCCCCTCTTCTCACCCCGACCAGGTGAGTGATGTTGAGGAGAGGGTTAATTACATCTCACCCTCATCACCTGGAAAGAAAGGGCTGGATGAGTCTTCTCAGGCTCTCCCAGCTCCGTGGCTCTGGGGCGCTTCAGCCAGCAACCACACTCAGTGGACACAGCCTGACTCCTTGGTGTCAAAGTGATTTTAAATGTGGTTACAAACCTCGCAATCCGAGGCTAAGCCCGGGCTGCTTTCACCCGCGGACAGTTGAGATGACGTCTTAGGGTCAATCAGCAGATACTGTTTATTTGCAAGAGTCGAGTCTCAGGAAAGGGACCAGTGAGGACACAGCACGTGACAGGACCTGGCGGGCATCTCCCCCGGGTCCTGTTCCCAAACTCCGAAACGGTGCAGTTGAGATTAGGGATTCAGGATGAGGAGACAGCAGGCCTGAGAGTACAAAAGAGGGCAGTCGGGGTGGGGGGGTGGGGGCAGCTCCACACAGCCACAGGCTCCTTGTTGCACCCCCCTTTTTGAGCACGTGGCCCCGCCCGGCCCCCAGGTCCACGTGGAGCCAGCAGTGAGGCAGACTTTGAAGTGGAGGCTTTTAATTCTTTTGAGGAGACTTTTAAGTAGGCTTCACAGGAGCCTCATTTCCACTTACATTTCTTTGGCTCAACTTTTGTCACGTGGCCACTCCTAGTCGCAAGGGAGGACAGGAAATGTAGTCTTTGTGCGGGATGCTGCCATGCTGAGTTGAGCCGGGCGTTCTGTTGCTGGGGCAGCGGCCAGGACAGACATTGGAGGACGTTAGCAGTTTCCCTGACATAGAAACTGTGTTTTTGAAGAGTAAGGGCTTTGGGGCCACTAATCTCCGGTTTAAACTTCATCCCCTGCGAACCAGTTGTGAGACATCAGCCAGACTACTTAACTTCTTTAATCTCTCTTTTTATACCATATGTAGATTTAAAGTAGTGCCACTGGTGTAGTGGTATCATGCAAGATTCCCATATGTAGATTTGGCGTGATGTTCACATCCTGGGGGTAAAGATGCAAGAGCAAATGCTCAGTATTTAGCACAGTGGCCGCCACGGTTACAGGAGCCCCCTGTAGCAGCATGTTTGACCTCATTCATTTATTTGGATATGTGGCATTACACATGGTGTGTTTAACTCCTAAGTCTTTCATATCCTTACTAGGGAACTAGGGAGTTTGGCTGGGACCAGTGTAGTTGGAGACGTGAGAAGCTAATGCCTGTCCAAAGAGGACAGAGCACTGTGGTCAACGTCAGTGGGAGCTTGATGCTAACCAAGTGGTCTGGCAAACCCAAGGGTGGGGTTACATATAGGTGAAGTTACAGGAAGTGCTTGCATTTCAGAAACGCATGAAGGAGAGAGCCCTGCAGAAGAAGGGCTTAGGGGAGACAGCCTGGGGCACTTAGCTATGGGGAAAATCTCAAGTCCTTTATGTCACCCCGTCTTCTCATCATCAGTGGGGGGGGGTTCAGGGCGCAGCTCTGAGCCCTTGCATTCTGATGGTTCCCCGCTGATGAGAGCAGGTCACTTCCTCCATCTGCCAGCCCTGCCCTGGCCAGTTAAGAGCCATCTGGGTTTATCTGTTCAGCATGAAATTGGTTCCAGGAACAGGGAACAAGTTAAAACCCCCTTGAGGATGTGGAGGAGGGGTGCTGGTAGGATGTTTTCCTGGATTCACGCATCACTTCCAGCTCTCTGGTAGACTTTCGACCGTAGGGATTCCCTGGTACTTTCTGGGACCGGGCACGTGTTGTCCACAAGGGCCATGAGTAAGACGGGGCCTCTGTCCTCATGGCCGTCCCCACCATGGGAGCCAGACCAGACGCAGGTGTGGTCGGCGGAGGGCTTGCTCCCACTTCATTCCCCTCCTGCTGGATCTTTGCAGCCCCTCCCACTCCGGTGGGTGTTTCCCTGCCCCCCACGGCAGCAGGTTTGGCCACGTGTCTGCTTTGGCCAGTGGAATGTGGGCAGACAAGGGCCAGCTGGCTCTGAGCGAGGCCTTGCTCAGCTGCATTTGCCCACGCCGTCCGCCTCTTGCCATCATGTGAGAAGATCCCCTCCGGGGAGTCACTGATCCAAGGAGGGTGACAGACCCAGGTCGCTGACGTGGACCCCACTGAAAGCTCAGGTCCAAGCCTAACCCAGCCCAGTCTAGGGCAGCCAACCTCCGTCTCACCTGCAGACCCGTGACTGCGAACAAGCCACTGCTGTCTGACGTGCAGTTTCGGGCGTGTGTGTTAGCGGTCCCGTGGTCGCAGATGCTGGCTGTTACAACAGGCAGGTGGGACAAGGCAGGAGAGGGACCGAGGGGAGGTGCAGAGGCATCTGAGAATCCAGCCGGGGGGAGGCGTCGGGGGGAGGAAAGCTTCAGGAACTTGTGTAAATGATTCACTTGTGGGTCCTCATTTTGCTTTTTCCTCTGGGATGCTCTGAACCAGAGATACATGGAGTCCTTCAGTGTTTATGTCAGAACTATATGTCAAGTAAGAGTTAACCCACAAGGACTACAGGAAAAGTTCTCCGACACAAGTGAAATATGAGGACCTTTTGACTCCTGGTGATTCACTCTCTCACTCATTCCTTTGACAAATAGGGTAAAGCTGTGAATAAAAATACAGGAGAACCCTGTGCACGTGGCGCTTCGGTTCTGGAGAAGTGAACGGTTGATGACAAAGCCCCAGAGAGGGAAAAGGCGGAGGATTGGGGCGGAAGGGTGGTGCAATGTCACAGGAAGGTCAGGGAAGACCTCAGCAAGAGTAACGTTTGAGCAAAGATGCTTGCAGTGGCTTAGCTGAGGAATGAGCATCTCAGGCCGAGGGGCAAGTCACTTCAGGAGAGAGAGAGAGACACCTAGGGCAGGGAACTCCTACGCCACATGAACATTGCTGTAGAGGAACAAGTTCCAAAATTTTGAATTTTCTTTCTTTGTTTTTAAATTTTTTTGATCGTAATTTTTTTGGAGGAATGGAGGTAATTTATTTTAATGGAGGTCCTGGGGATTGAACCTGGGACCTCGTGCATGCTAAGCACGCACTCTCCCACTGACCTGCACCCTCCCATCCCCCCAATTTTGAGTTTTCTGGTTAAAAAAAAATCTAGGCAAAAATGTTTCCATCATCAGTTGAAACCTCTGGAATCTGCCCCTGGGACGCCCTCCAGGGGCTCTCTCTTTGGGCGTCGGTGGCTCCTGGTGACCCCTCCGTCTCCTCCTCTAGGGTATGGGGTGCTGGACCTGAGGGCTCCACTTCCTGTGTCCTCCAGAAGTTTTTGGGGGCGGTGTTCATCTTGTGCATGTTGGTAACCGGTGTTTCTGCCTTCGTCATTCAGCCGGAGGAACGCACAGGTAAGAAGGGGATTGGCCGGAAGGGCCCGCCCGCAGCTCCTCTGGGGAAAGCGTCCTTATCTGGGAGGTTTCGTTGTTCTCCTAAAGAGCGGTGTGGACATCGGCGCTTTGGTAAGGGATGGAGTCTTCCTCTGCCTGCCTCCTCGGATTCGCAAGCCTGCTCTGGGCACTGGTCATTCCTGCCAAAGGAGCAAACCAGTGAGGTCGTAGCTTTTCCCCCTGATCAAAGGTGGCTTTGGATTTTAACCACACGTCCTGTCGGGACTAAGCTCTTTTTCTGTCTGAACTCAGTCAAGATTGACTTTTAATGATAAGGCATCAAAAAGTCAAAAATAAAGGCCAAACCTTTTTTTGTTTTGTTTTTTGGCCACCGTGTGAACCTGATTTAACTTTTCCCACAAAATGTAGATCAGAATTGATAGCAGCCCTACCTAACGTTGTAACCTGGGAGTTTTCAGAACATCATGAAAAGAGGGTTTAACGGGGCCCCCCGGTGGCAGGCCGCTTTATCAGGGCCACGTGGCTTCCTCAGAGGGACCCAAAGCCTGACGGTGGGTTCTCTGTCTTGCAGTGGCTGCAGGAAACTGCCAATTTCGTGGCAAGCATGTCAAAACCAGAGTCATGTTGGAAGGGGAGCCTGTGGCCATAAGGTGTCCCCAGCTGCTGTACTGGGACGATGCCAGCGCCCACATCAACATGACGTGGAGGAAAAACGAGTCCGCTGTGACAGTCCCGGGGGAAGAAGAGGCGCGAGTGTGGGTCCAGGACGGTGTCCTCTGGATTGTGCCGGCCTTGCGGGGGGACTCCGGCACCTACACCTGCACTCTCAGGTCAGCCCCTTGGGACCAGCGTGGGGAAGGGGGCCCTTGCAGAACGGATGCTTGCATGGCGTTTCCATGATGACCTGGGTTACAAAATCCAGTGCAGAAGTGGGAATCCACCTTACGTCCTCTTCCCTGGTCCCGAACTACCTCCTGCCCGAGAGCTTGTCCCCAGATGTCTTCAGGGCACCCTCTCTCCTCTCACTGAAGTCTGTGTTCAGGTGTCACCTCTTTAGAGAAGACGTCCCTGGCCACTGTCTAAAGCAGGACTCCCATCACTCTCTCTCCCTACCCTGTTAGTTCTCTGCATCTGACACACATAATGCCTTTATGTACTGAAGGTTTGTCTACCTGGTTAGAACAGCAACTCCAGGGGCACAGGGACTTGGTCTATTTTGTTCACTGCTGAATCCACCAGGACCCAAGAAATAGATGTGCAGCATGGAGTGGAATCAGCCCTGGGGGAGGCTTTAGGAAGACGTTAATCCCATTTATTGCACACGTGGGGGACCCAAGCTCAGGTACAAAGTTCTCCCAGGTGGTGGGTGTGGTGCTGAGGCTGGAACCCACAGCTCCTGATGGAGGGTCTAGTCCCCCTCCTCTTTGTCCTGTTATTTTTTTCCCCTTTAATTGCAGTAACAAAAACTTAACATAAAATGTAATCTTAACCCCTTTTAAGCGTACAATTCAGTTGTGTTAACTACCTTCACAGTGTTGTATTACTGTCACCGCCATCCAGCCCCAGAACCCTTTCCATCTTCCCAGACTGAAACTCTGTCTGTCCCGGTTAAACAATAACCCCCTGCTCCCCTGCCCCCAGCTCCTGGCAGCCCCCATTCTACCTCCGTCTCTGCAAGTACCTCATATGAGTGGAGTTATACGTGTTTCTTCTGTGACTGGCCGATTTCACTCAGCATAATGTCTTAAGGTTCGTCCATATTGTAGCAGGTGTCACAATTTCCTTCCTTTTTTTAAAAGTGAAAAAATAAATTTTTTTAATTCGTTATTTTTATTTTTTATGTTTAGAATTTCCTTCCTTTTCAAGGCTGAATATTATTTCATTATATGTACTTTTTTTTTCTTTCTGGTTGTTTCTCATTTTTTTATTGAAGTATAGTCAGTTACAATGTGTCCATTTCTGGTGCGCAGCACAATGTCCCAGTCATGCATATCCATACATATATTCATTCTCATATTATTTTTCATTAAAGGTGATTACAAGATATTGAACAAAGTTCCCTGTGCTATACAAAAGAACCTTAAAAAAATCTATTTATATATATAGTGACTAACATTTGTAAATCTCAAACTCCCAAATTTATCCCTTCCCACCCCCTTTCCCTAGTAACTATAAGATTGTTTACTATGTCTGTGAGTCTGTTTCTGTTTTGTAGATGAGTTCATAGTGTCTTAATAGAATTATGATATTGAGATTATAGTTAGACTAACCAAAAAAAAAAAAAACCACCAAAAAAAAAAAAAACCCGAATTTTACTGAGTTCATTTCTAGTGCAAAAATCTTCTCTAGATCTTACATGAAGTTCTCAGGAATTTTCTGGAATCTGACTTCAGCTGATAAATGATTTCCAAGAGAAGTAAAGAGGGTTTTCTTTATATGAAAACAGTGGCTCTTAGGAAATCATCTCTCCACCTGGATAAGGTTCCCCGGACTGGGAAGTCGGCCCATGTTGGGTCTGTGCTCGAGGACCCACCAGAATCTGGAAGGGTTTGGGCCCCTTTGAAGGGGCGTTGGGAGTTTCTCATTGGTTCTCACTGGCGTTGAAATCAGACTTGTGGAGAGTCCTTTGGGAAAAACGCAGACTATGTCACCATTTCTATATGACCATTATGATGCAGTACACTTTTTTTTTTTGTGCCCCAAGGATTCAAAAGCACCAGGGATGGAAGTATTACACTAGGAAAACGCAGAATTCAACGGGATCGGGGAAATTATTCTTAACTGCATTTACTTTTAGTTTCCTTTTACCTTGACATTTATTATCTCCCCCCCCACCGCTCTTTTAAATCAGAAATGCCTCTTACTGTGATGAAATGTCCGTGGAGCTCAGAGTTCTTGAGAAGACGGAGGTTTCCCGGCCCCTCATCTCCTACCCGCAGGTCCTGCCCCTGTCATCCTCTGGGATGCTGGTTTGCCCTGATCTGAGTGAATTCATCCGAAACAAAACTGACGTGAAGATTCAATGGTACAAGGTACATCTTTACAAACTGCTGTTTAATGAAATTGCATTAGACTAGTCGTAGGAAAGATGGAAGAGAACCATCCTGGAGACAATATGTTCGGTTTAATATTCCTATTTTTTTAACCACTAATTTTAAAAAGGGCCATGATTAATACATTCTATTAGTCTTTATGTGGCTTGAGTAAGGGTCTTTAGATCATGGTTTGAGAAGATAGTGTGAAATGAATGCAGGATAACAGCTGGAGAAAATAACTTTTTATTCTGTCATTTGTCTATAGACATTTAGAGACAAATGCTAAACAACTTTATACACATATTCATAGACTTTTTTTTTTTAAAGTGAGTGATAATTAACCCTTGGGTTAAGGGAGTAAATATAAACACATTTTCCCCTCTTGCCTGGCTGAATAAGGACCATCCTCAGCTCCAGCTCCCTGGCGTAGACCAGGTGTGGGAAACAACGGGGGTGGGGGCAGGGCCCAGACGGAGCTGCCACCTGTGTTTGGATGCCTGCCAGCTAAGGATGACTTTCACTTTTTTAAATGGTAAAAAAAAAAAAAAAAATTAAAAGACTAATATTCATGACACGTGAAAATGATATAAAGCTCAAATCTCGGTGTCCACGAGCCACGTTCTACTCTCTGGTTTCTGTGTTTTCATGCTGCAACGGCAGAGTTGAGCAGTTGGACAGAGGCCACGTAGACCGCAGGCCTCAAATATTTACAGTCTGGACTTTCCCAGAAAAAGTTTGCCGACCCCTGACACGGACCATAGAACGAGAACTGAAAAGTACAGTTATTTGTTTAAAAATGGGTAGACGTTTACCCTTTCATCAAAAAATAGGTTAACCAGTTGACTGGCATTGTAACTACAAGATATATATAGAGAATATCACATCTAGGATCTATCAATGTAATATTGGAAACTTTTAAGTGATTTTCCAAGCAAAGTAAGCAGCCACCTCCTACCCGGTTACCGAACAGGTGCTCTCGGTTCTAGAGCAAGAAAAGGACAAGCGAGGGGTTTCACCTTAGAGGAAGGACAGGTTCTGGAACTGACCAGGCTGGGTTTGAAACCCTGTTTCCTCACTGACCTGTGGTGAAGCCTCGGTCAATTATTTCCCCTCTTACACCTGTTCCCTCTGCAAGGTGGCAGTTAGTCAGTCACTCCCGCTCCTGGGATGGTCTGGAGACGAAACGGAGCACAGGGCGTGAGTGAAGCCCCCTGTGCAGGGCCTGACGTGTAAGTGGTCCTCAGTACAACAGGTGCACAAGGAAATCATGGCGGCGCGTGAGAATATTTGTTCCCTCCCTGAGAAGGCTAATTATTACCGAGTACGTGCTGTGCCCAAGTCTGCTCTAAACTCCCTGGTTTGGAACCCAGTGCACCAGGGGCTGCTCACATCTCCGTCTTTCAGATTAGGAAACAGACACAGAAACACAAGGAACTTGCCCAAGGTTACGCAGCTGGGAGACGGTGAAGCCAAACCTCTAACCCAGGAGGCCAGACCCACATACCTGTGCCAGGCCCCGTGCTGGAAGGGCAGCGGGGCTGGGCCCTCATTGGTTTTTTCATGTTTGACCACTCACATTAGGAACAATGAATTCTCTCCTTTTAATTAAGTATGGTTTTACGCTCTGAGCCACGTGGCTGACAAACTATTTCAGTTATGCCTGTTCCCATTCAGAGGGAGACTCTGACATGACTCAAGGTTCTATTTGACTCTTGCAATCATCATGGTTTTGAAAGAGATGTTCCTGAGAACACTTTGTGCTCGGTGGGGATGTCTTCTCAGATCCGCTCAGCTTCTCCTGTTCTTGGAGGTCTGGCTCCAGAGGGTTCTGTTCTGTAGAACCCGCAGTACCTTTGGTCCAGATGAGAAGTGTGGCCTCATTTCTCACACTTGGTATTTTGTCTTACAATTTTTTTCTCCATCTCTCCTGACTGAGAGAATTGAAATGCTTTTAGAGTGATCCCTGCATCACCATGGCTGCGTGGTTGCACCCCTTCCTGGGTATCTCCCGAGGTCTATAGGCAGCAGCTAAGGCTATAAATATATTCGCATTTTATCTTAAATTTTTAAAAATTTTTTAACACCTTTATTGTAGTATGATTCCTGTACAGTGAACTACATATACTTCAGAGGTCCAATTGGATGAATTTTGATGAGATGTATAATATATGTGTATTTTAAACAGGCTACTTTGTCAAAGAAGATAGCTTCTTTTCTTCCCATCGTGCCCAAGCAAATGTATCTTAAACATCGTGATTAACCCAACCCGGCCATTTTGTCTTATATGCTAACAAATTCCCACTCCTAAAAAACGCAGTTAACAGTTTATGCCAAAGGACAGTGTTTGCAAAGTAAATACCAGGGAAGTTCTTGGGTTGCAAATTCAAGAGTGACTGATGATACTGATGCTGCGGGTAGCTTTGGAGTTGTAAATTAGGACACAGTGTAATTTTGGAAACTGTTTTCCCTTAAGGATTCCGTCCCGTTGGAACAAGACAACAAGAAGTTTGTAAGTGTGAAGGTAACTTCGTTACTCATGAACAGTGTGTCTGAGGAGGATGCGGGCTATTACAGCTGTGCCATGACGTTCGCCCACGGAGGCAAGCAATACAGCATCACCAGGAACATCAAAGTCCGCGTCAACAGTGAGTACTCGTCCTCAGGGCACCTGTCCAGCCTGGATCAGTGACAGGCATGCAAGGGAGGAACTGGGGTTCACGAGGAGTTCCTTCGTGTGAGAGGAAAACAGATACAGCTTCTCTCCGGGCATCAGGCTTGTGAGACGTGTGTGGCACATGGACAGGTGGGCAGCAGGGGGTTATCATGAGAACAGGTGAGTCCCTGGGTAGCTGGCAGGGTTCTGAGTCTGAGGCTAAGACACACATCCCTAGAGGGGGCCAGACAGTGGTTCGCTGGTCAGGTCCCTTTGGAAGGCAGGGCCAGGCATCAGAACACGGCTGCCATGATGGTGTGTTATTCTAGGATTTTTATTGGATTCTTTAGTTAGAAGGCTATGCCTTGGCATATCTGGTGAAAACTGCCCCTTTTTTGGGTCTTCCCCACGCATGTCAAGTTGCCCTTGAAAGCAGGATTTTCACTAGTGAGGGCTCTCGTTGGTTTAAGTGAGTTCTACCTGAAAACAATGCTGTGAGCAGCCCTGCTGAGCCGTCAAAGGTGCTCTCCATTCTTCCATGCTGCCTGCATGCTGGACGTCAGGTTTGGGGAAAGGGCCCCACAAGGGCTGAAGTCCCGGCCCCCGCCCTGGAAAGGACACCGCTTTTCTTTGTCTTTCTTTTTGAAAAACATTTACTTGTTATTGTCTTATTAAATTATTTTATTTTGGTGGGGTTTAGGGGGAGGTAATTAGGTTTATTTATTTTTGGAGGAGGTGCTGGGGATTGAACCCAGGACCTTGTGCATGCTAAACATGCGCTCTACCCCTGAGCTACACCCTCCCCCCCTTTATTTTGTACACTGAATAACTACACAACTGGAGTCTTTTAAGGGCATTTCAGAGCCCTTGGGAACCCTCTCAAAGTTAAATAATTGGTCTATGAGGGGAAAATACTTTTTCTCCCAGAGAGTCAGTCTGATCACAGGGAAAATCTTGTCTCCCATGAACAGAAACCTCTAGATTATTTTCTGTGACTGTCTTGTCAGGATTCATTCATACCAACTCCTTGTTCCCCATTAGTGGGGATCGCAGACACTTCATGACTTGGAAGGGGCCTCGAATTATCCTGTTCCTGTGGTACCGCCCGGGAACACGAGGGGGCGCCAACCTCCGAGTTATCTTGTGTGATGCCCGTGCTCTGTCTCAGCGGGTCCCAAGGGTGGTTCTCCGCCCCCGCCGCAGAGGCATCACCTGGGTGTCATTAGGCGCGCAAGATCTCAGACCCTCATCCCAGACCTACTGAATCAGAAACAATCAGTGATCTGGGTTTGGCAGCGCCCCCTTCCCCCCAGCCCCAGGTGATGCCGCTGGATCCTAGAGTCTGCGACCCAGGGGCTTATCTCGTTCTTGCGGGCTCCTCCCCTCTTGGTTCTCCAGCCTCCGGGGTGGCAGCCTGGTGGCTGTGAGGGGACGGAAAGACTCCCGGTCACGGTGGAGAAGCCAGTTGCTCCTTGGGCTCTCTTGTGATGCAGCCTCATGCCCACTCCCGTTAGGGCTTCAAATGCTCTTTAGGGAAAGAGGTGAGGATGGAGCAGGGGTGGAGACAGAGGCCCTTCATCCACCCCCAAGCTGTCCTTTTTGGTCCAGTTCAGGTGCCCAGTTTTTTCAAGCTGCTAGGAGACCCGCCTGTCGGGAAGCTGGGTTCTGATTTCTCCCGAAGGAGTCCATCTCTTCAGGGAACCAGACCTAGTCGCCCAGGGGGGGCACTCCATGTACCACTCAGTGTGGGGTTAGCATTGCCAGCAGGTGCTTCCCGAGCCCCTTGTTTTTTTTCATTTTTTATGTTTTGGGAAGTGACTCCAGTATTCTGTGGCAGGCACGTGGGGCCGTGGGGATGGTGTGAAGAGCAAGATTTCGGGGCAAGGAGACAGGGGGCGAAAACCTCTCCTGTGGACTTTGTGAACGTACCTATGAAGAATGCACTCAGGAAGCCAGGGAGGGGAATGGTTAATTGTTATCACAGAGCAAAGAACATCTGTTGGTGGGATGTGTGTTTAACTCTGGCTTCTTCCAGTAATCTCTCTTCTGGGAAAAGCACTGGCCAAAGACGCTCAATTTTGTGGAGAGCCGGTTTCCTCTGTCAGGCAAAGGCCGAGGCTTACAATGGCTGGCCCTCCTGTAAGGGATACTTTCGTTAATTAGCTCAACAATAGAACTTGACCCTCAGCTGGACATGAAGGCGTTTCCTAATTGAATCTCTTTCCCTCATATCTTTCTCAGAAAGAGAAGAGGCAATTCCTGTGATCATCTCCCCACAAGAGACCATATCGGCTTCGCTGGGTAAGGACTGTGTCACCCGAGGGGGCCCCGCCATCCCCGGGACCCCTGTGTCACTGTGCCAGCCCCGTGGCGTGCAGATCCTGGGTGGAGACCCCACCCCAGGGTGAGAGGCTGAAATGACAAATGTGAGGGAACGCTTCCCTTTACTGTTAGACATGGCATTGATTGAAAACAAGTACACTTTGCTCCATGGAAACCCTACCTCCAAAAGTCTCAGTGTAAAATCAGAATGTTCTGGTAGCAGTGATTAGTGGTGTGAAAGGACTAAACAGTGTGGCGTCCCCTACAAAGTCAGTTCCTGCAGTGTGTTTAAAATAATCTACCAACACTTGATTGATGCTCGGCACCTCTCTAAGACCCCGATTGTAAAGTGAGCCGAACGGCGCCCGCTGGCCTCCACCCCGGAAGACAGTTCTTGTCACAGCAGCTGGTCAACGGGTCAAGGGACAGCATGGAATGGTCAATAGGATTTTCCATTTTTCACCATTTTTTTCCGCCATCCCGACCAGCACACACTTTCTTACTGAACATTGCTAAGTTGAATAAGATGCCATTCGACCCTGACGTGGACCCTGTGGGGAGGTCTTGTCTCACTTCTCCCGTTTTCCAGAGGGAAAAGCTGCCCAGGGCGTCACCATGGCTCTGTGTCTGTGTAAAAGTCACTGGCGGGTTGGGCTGGGGTTCAGACTCAGGCCTGTGTGTCTGTGAGGCTGGACGCGTTTGCGTATGTGTTTCTGTCGAATGGCTCTGCAGGAGTCGTGCTGGGTGAGGACACCCTGGCTGCAGACTTCACTCTCTCTCCGGGCCTGGGTTCTGATGTTTGATGCACTGCGTCTTGCCGCCACAGGGTCGAGACTGACAATCCCGTGCGTGGTGTTTCTGGGGGCCGGCATCCCCGTGACCACCATGCTGTGGTGGATGGCCAACAGCACCCAAGTCAAGGACGCCTACCAGGGGGGCCGTGTGACCGAGGGGCCGCGCAAGTAAGTGGGCGGAGATCTCCCTTCTTCTGGACAGAGCTGCTGTGAGACACCTGTCGGCTTCACCCTTCCTCGTAGAGACAGTGTCCTAACCCACCGATCCACAATGCACATACCACATTGCAAATAGTATTTCTGATTCCAAACTGTTGAATTTTTTTGAATCTTAAACAACGAATTTTGCCCAGAAGTGCCACCTGTCCTTGAGAGCCATACTTCCTACGTAACTGTACGTGTTGCATCTGATGCTTGGCATTGGGGTTGCTTTTTTTAGCTGTTTGAACGTTTCTTTCTTAAATTTTTGCAGTATTGAAAAAAAAAAAAACCTTAAGATATTTTCATTCCCAGCTCTGCAACCTGAGTGTCAAACATTTTCGCAGCCCTTAGAAGGACTCCGAAACAGCCACAGCTGCTGAGAGCCCCTGTCCCCCGTTTCTCAGGTAGCTGTGGGCTGTCCGCAGTCTTTAAGGAAGTTTCCTGTGAAAGAGAGAATTCTGTCCTCAGAAGCATTCGTCTCTGGAAAATGTTTTCTCACCGTGAAAGCAGAACATGCAGACTTTGTAAATGGGAACCACTTGCGTGCGAGGAAGGCCGACCATCCAATGTTCCCAATTATAAAGTATTTTTAAAATGATAGCTTCAGTACTCTGAATTTGCCTGAACTTTTTGCTTGCCAAATTTTGGTCTTTTTTTTTTTTTTGAAAGACCTATCACAAAAGGTCTTTCTGGATGCAAGTGAGTGGATAGAAATGATGTGTGGTGCGCATGAATGTGTGCTCGCAAATCCTCGTTGTGAGAAGCCTGGGCAGAACGCACATGCCCCGTGTCGGCTCACTTGTACCGGAGGTTGGCTTCAAGGAGCCTATTTCTCCCCCATAAATTTAAAAAAAGAAATAGTCCCTGTGGCTTCACATCAATGATATTTTTAGTCATACTAATAGATAGCCATGAAGCAACCTCAGATTCCTGTGACATTACACATGGCAATTGTGCTGTAAGACACTCTCCCCGCCACCCCCCACCCCCGGCCCGTCTGTAGCCGCCCGCCCTGAATTTGGGAGTGAGGACTGGCAGCGAGCGGGGAGGCGAGGAGACACGGTGAAGTACGGGATTCCTGGAAACTCCCTACCCTCCAACATGCAAATGATTTCTTGGTGATACTGTCCAGTTTCCCAAAACTAGACATTTTGATTCCCACTACTGGTTCTTTGTTCATCAAAGGCCTTAGCAAGTGATTTTTTTTTCCCGTAATCCAATGTCAGCTGGTGTCCTCCTTGTAACAAGTGTCCGATCACAGTGACTGACACCGTCAGTGTCACCCCAGGCTTCAGGAACAGGTTAGACATTCTCCCAAACGAGTAACAGCTATAATGGCAGGAGCTGCTAACCTGATGGATCTCGAAATCAGTGCAAGAAACAGGCGCTGCCTTATTGAGAACGTGCAGATGTCGGCGCCGCAGACACAAGCTGGCCTTTGACGCTTTAAATGTTTTCTCGCTCAGGGAGTACTCACAGAATAATGAGAACTACATTGAAGTGCCACTGATTTTTGACCCAGTCATCAGAGAGGATTTGCACACCAATTTTAAATGTGTTGTCTCTAATACAGCGCATTTCCAGATGCTACGCACCACAGTCAAAGAAGGTACGTGTTTTGGGGACACTGAAGGGGAAAAGAAGATGTAGGGTGTTCTAGGACGCTGAACAGAGCCACTGGTTCTCCAGATGGCGACTTAGGAGGGCCCTGCGTTTCCTGTTAGAGAGCAACCCCCCTCCTTTTTTAAATGATTTCTTCGGCAGGGCGGAGGCCGGCTTTGGGAGATTATACTCAAGAATTTTATAGAGGAAGCTGATTTTTTTTTTTTTGGAAAAAAGAAAATGGTTCAGTGACAGACTTGAAAAAAAAATGTGGTTTTGCCTGGACCAGCAGGACCAGCTGTGCTTCCCTGATGCCTCGAGGACGGTGGGGTATTTCCCATCCCGAGGTTGAAAACCCTCATCCTTCAAGAGCTGGGGACTGGGAGGTGCCCGGGGCCCAGGCAGCTTTAGGGGTAAAGCCACTGTCATCAGGGAGTGAGGAGCAATGTGGAGCCACATCAACCCAGTGCTCGTTGAAGGACATTTGAAAAAGAGGAGAAAAACCTGATTTATCATTTTGACACAGTGATTTTTAAAAAATGAATGCTATTTAGCTTTGTTTTTTTTTGCGGG